ATTCTGATTCTGGCACAGGCAAAGACACTGCTAGGAAGTGGTGGGGGGAAATTGGGTGTCCTTCCCGGGACTACTTTTTAGTCTTGTTGACGGTTCCAGGAGCTGGGATTGACAGATAGGAACAACTGACATGATTTCCATAAGAAATTGCAGCAAATTTATTACCAGTGTAAAAGTCTGAGTCTGCCAACTGCCTTCTAAACAAAATCAATTTTTAAAACTTAAATGAAATTAGAACCAATTTGAACACCAAGTTGGCTGTTCTCTCATTTCTTGAAATCTCTGTCCGTTTTCAAAAATTTAAATGAATGTTAGGGTGGACTGACAAGGGCTTTCATGTGATTTCCCAGTACACTCCTTGGTTGTCAGATACGGACGGAGAGAAACTGTAGATCACTCACAAGTCTGCGCCCAAGTGTGTTACACTGAAGTGTACATGTTCTAAGGATGCAGTCTAAAAAGTACAGTATCCACAGTTTCATCTCTATCGTAGTTTCCATTCAAATTATAGCTTATGAGGACACTTTTAACAATTTCTCCCTATAGTTTAAATTCCCCACAGTCCACAACAGCTTTGTCCTTACCAGTAGCTCACTGGAGGTTAATAGGAATGTAGTCACATAGCACATCGGTGAGTGTTCACGGAACGCAGGCCAAAGGTAGACTGTTAACAAGTGCTGGACCTGAGTAGAACAGCATGGAGCCTGTAAGTCAGCCGTCTCAGTCAGGTGCCTCTTTCCCATGCAACTTTAGATTTAACACCTTCTTAGAGAGTGAAGTCTTAATAAATTTGATGCATTTTAACCAGGGTAACTTTTTCACCTATTAAAACACCAAAATTCAACCTGGCCACAGCGACTCCACAGTCACTCGTAATTCTAGCTACTCAAGGGGTCGAGATCAGGAGGATGGTGGTTCGAAGCCAGTCTGGGCAAATAGTTTGTCAGACCCTATCTCAAAAAATACCCAACCAAAAGAGGGCTGAAGGAGTGGTTCACTTAGAGGCAGGTAGAGCACCTGCCTAGCAAGCGTGAGGCCCAGAGTTCAAACCCTGGTGCTACAAAAAAAGTTTAGTTTAGCAAATATGAAAACAGTTTAGAGACTTAAGTCTCTTTTACTGAAAATCAGTGTTTTGAGAGCTAATGGTGCATAAGCCATGACCAGGGCTCTATCCCTAGCACTGTAAAAAAAAAAGAAAAGTATTTTGAGAACTATTTATTTTAGTGATTCTGATTTTAATTTGGAAGCCCACATAATTTTCAGCCACTCTGATACATTTGAAATGAAATAGTCTGAGGCGCTCAGAATCTGCTGTAGTCCTCACTTGTATACTGACCCTTGCCTGCGTGACACTGAGGCTCTAGAGCAAGTAGGCGTGGGGCTGCAGTGCTCTGCTCAACCCCTGATAATTTTCTTGATTTTTAACATTTTGTGACAGATTTGGCTGCTGTCAAAAAGGTTTTGTTGTTTGAATTGTGAATTGAATAGTGCATGGAATTACTAGGAAGGCTCCTTACAGTAAGTCCATCGTTAAGAGTAGAGAGAAGTAGATCAAGTAGACTTAACAGCTACAGAATACTCCTTCTCATCAGCAGTTCATGGAACTTTCTCCAAAGTAGATGATCTCTTCAGACATAAAGCAGTCTTAACAAATACAAGAAAGGGGAAATGATTTCCCATATTTTATCAGACTGCAATAGAGTAAAACTAGAAATCAGTACTGAGAGAAACCAGAAAATATCCAAACATATGGAGACTGAGCAGTCACTCTTGAATGATTAGTGGGTCACTGAAGAAGTAAGTGGAGAAATCAAAAAATTCCTAGAATCAAACAAAAATGAAGGCACAACTTACAGAACCTTGGGACACAGGAAGGGAAGTGCTGAGAGAAAAGGTCAATGCCTGTGGGTGCCTTCATTTAACACTTCCATGAGGCACCCCACACTCTTAGAAAAATAAGAACAAATCAAACACAAATGCAGATGGAAAGAATAAAAAGATCAGGGCAGAAATTAACAAAAAGGAAACTAAACAATATAAAGAATCATTGAAACAAAAAGTGGGGGTATCAGTTTGGTTAAGTGTTAGTTGACACATTTAGGCCACTTCCTGACTTTTTTGTGGCCTATAAGCTAAGAATGGTTTTTACTGTTTAGATGATGGTTGAACAGAAATCAGAAGAGTGGCAGTATTGTGTAACACATAAAATTATATGATACTCAGATTTCAGTGTCCACAAAGTCTTACAGAACATAGCCACACTCAGAGGTTATTTATCTCATGATAAAATGCTGGCATGAATATTTATCTCATGATAAATAACCTCATGAGGCTCCCCAGGTAAGAAAACTAAGAACAAATCAAACAAACACAAAAGCAGATGGAAAGAATAATAAAGATAAGGGGAGAAATTAATGAAAAGGAGACTAAACAAACAATACAAAAAGTCATTGAAACAAAAAGTGGGTCATCAGCTTGGTTCCTGATGTATTTCCTTTGTGGCCCCTTACAGAAGAAGTGCTGGCTCTAGATCAGGTGTCCTGAGGATGGATTTGGGCCAGTTCCTGCGATGTGCACCACATGTAGAAAGCTGCGTGTGGAGGTTTTTAACTTGAGCATAGGAGAGTAAGGGTGGCCAGCAGGAATAGAGTGTGCAGGCTGTGAGAGGAGGTGGGCAGGAGAGGAAGTGGTAGGAGGACATCTGGGGACAGGAAAGTTAAACCATTACTTTGTGCCCTCAGTCCTTAGAAACATGAAACGCCATATAGTTGCAATCTCCTGTTACTAGGAGCAGAGAAAGGGTATTGTGTGTTTCTATTTCTGATAATACCATGCAGGTAGTATCACTTACACATTGAGCAGAATTACTGTCATCACTAGTTCTTTCACAGTCAGTGTATAGCCCAGATTCTGATGTCTAGAATTTTTTTTTTAATCTCCCTTTCATGTTTAACTTCTGGTCCCCTAAAATTAAGCAGAAACTGCCAGGAGAAGCTCAGTTTTATTTCTAGTTGCTGTGACTGCTCCCTTGCTCTGTATGTGAGGACACACAGCAGAAGTTGGTTGTCATCCTTCTTTTGACTCTTCTAAGTTTAGAAGATAATGCCTCAGACTCAGGAGTCTGGCGTAAGTTCAGTGATGTTCCAGTGTTGACTGCTTTTGTTGGGCAGTCAGGTGTGGCAGGGCCCAACCAGTGTTGTCTGGGTGCAGCAGACCTGCTCCAGGCCCTATACTCCTTGGTGGTCCCATACCGCCATGCTCTTCACATGTCTTATTGTACGTGCCATTCTTTGATCCCCTCATGAATACTCTGTACTGTCCTTATAGTAAATGGTCACTTCTTGTTTCTGTGTTCTTTGACTTTGGAGAGCAATACCCACTTCTACAGAAAAGAACTTTGTTTATATTCTCAGTCCATATCTTTTCGAATTTTAAAGAGATTTTAAATTTTCATACAGCAGCTTGTTTCTTGGCTGAGTAGACCTGTCTAGACCATCTTCACTCTGGTATCCTGTGAAATGAAAGTCATCCTGCTCTGATATTAAGCAGTGGACTTTGTTTTGGATATGTACAGTTAGATTTTACTTCATATATCAAAATTAAAATGCTGGAATGAATGTTACTGGAATGCTTAGCAAGTAAAAATGTTTTAGTTTCTATTAGTCCTGACATAGTTACTTTTTTATTTACAAGAAAATTTTATCAATTTTTGAAATTCTTGAGTCCTATCTCTAGCTCATTAAATTGGACTCAGACCTTTCTTCCAAATGTTACCTTTCTTTATCTTGTGTTTTAAAAGTATACACACTTAGTGAGGTTCCAGAAACTCAGTTTTTTTCATTTCTGAGGCTAGAGCTTTAGCTTGTGGTCACTGCAAATATGAGTACAAGCTGTGGTTATCCTTGTAAGTTAAGAACCATTCTTTGACCCTACACCTATAGTTTTTACTCTCAAATTGCCTTTCCCCCCCCCTTAACAGTAACCCTAAGAAGCCACAAGCATCAGGGTTTAGATTGGTTTTCTGTGTTGTACAAAGTGAGGCGTTCACTTTATCACATCTTGGTTGGGCCTGTAGCATGGCTGGCTGAGTAGGTGTGGAAGCTGTCCCTTGCCTGCAGTTACTAGTGTTTGCTTTTCTGCAGGTTTAGTACACAAAGCAGGTGTACTCTTGTCTTCAAAGGGACTTTAATGCAGAGTTGCTTTGTTGCCTTGATTTTAATTGAGTTGCCTCGTGTTTACAAGTTCCATTTTATTCAGAACTTTCAATTCCACCAGAAGACATAAAACCTTCAGTTTGTAGTTATCAGCTAAGTTTCTTTTGAGTGAAGGACTCAGCCTGGTGGATGAGTTCTTAAAGCAATGTTATAGGCTTTTCAAAGGAAACATCCACTCACATGCAGCGGAATGCCAACATGGAGTAATCCTGTAAGTTCTCCTAAGCAAGCCCTGAAGTACCAAGATAAAGTTGAGCTTTTTCGGATGTTGAGTCTGGTGGAACTCATATTAACATCAGAGGATCCTTCTGAACTTCCACTTACAGCGCCACATGTCAGCATAAAGCCTGACGTTTGTCTCTAGGAAGCCGCTTCTTACCAATGCCATGGACAATGTAGTACATTCTGTGTGTTACGATTCTACTCAAGCTAAAGGAGGGATCTTAAAGTTAAGTGCATTCACTTTTAGTCTGAAGTTAACATAAGTTTATATTCTTCAGACTAACATAAAACATGATTTTGAGAAGTTAAGTTGGAAGATGCCTTTTGAAAGTAATAGTGTATTGATTTTTTAAAATTAATATCTCCCAAGTCTTGCTTAGAAATCACATATGTATAAGAAAAGTTATTAGCAGAGCTAGAGTAGTTTACTACCTCCTTAATGAAGACTTGATGTAAATTTGTTGAATTTCTCGTACCACCTTCAGATAGATAGTTAGTTCAGCAGGAGCAGAGACCAGGTTCAAATGCCAATGGGATGTAATTCAGTGTTTTTGTGTTGTGCAGCCTAAGAAATGCCAGTGGCCTGACAGCAGCAGACATTGCACAAACCCAGGGTTTCCAAGAGTGTACCCAGTTTCTCTTGAGCATCCAGAGTCATCACCTGAGTGGTTTCTATCATAATGGCGCCTTGAGTGGGTGTCAAGAGAACCTATTTCCCAGTCGAATTAGTGTGGGAACAAATCGAAAGCGATGTTTGGAAGACTCGGAATCCTTGGGAGTGAAGAAAGCTAGGACTGGAGGTGAGACCTTGGGGGGTGGCAACGAGCAGGGCTCTTCCCTTAACAATCTCTTTTCATGGCCGGGCGCACCTTCATATCAGGATGCACCTTGTGTCGGATGGTGGCAAGTGTCCTGTATTGCCACTGAAGATGGCATGAGCAGCTCATGAAGGGGTGTCCTTGTGACATTGTGGAGTGCTCAAATACAAGTGTACCTACAGCTTGTGAGTGCTCACACTCACATTCCTCCATGAATTAGTAAGTTTGCTGTGTTTGTTTAGAATGTAACTATTAAAAGAAATCTGCCATCAAGCCTAATTTTTTTTTTTTTGTTAATTTCTTCCAAATGTTCTTGAGCTTATAAAAATTGTCAGTGACCAGGCAGTAAAACATCTTTTCATATTGGGGAGGGTAGCTGTTCCTGGTACCGTCACCACTGGCATGAGGATGTGACCTCATCTGGCCTCTGTGCCTTCTGTGGTGATGCAAGTTTATTAATTTGAAGTGGAGGAGTTCAGGTAAGTTACTTTGGTTACATACTTAAAGTATTATTCTCCCCTTTAAAAAAAAAAAAACTTTATTTTTACTTTTTAGTATATATTAGTTGTCCAAAATAATGGGTTTGCACTGTGACATGAGCATTTACACACACTCATCATATTCATCTCCCAGCTGCCCTCCCCTGTTCCTCCTCTCCTCTCATCTTGATCCCTTCTTCTTCCCTAATAGGCTCCTCTATTTCAGGGTGACCTATGGGTTTTTGTTTTTTTTTTTTTAATTTTCCCTTTGTTAAAGGCAGCTTTAGAATTTTGCTTAGCCACAGTCACTGGCCATTCTGTTATTTGGGAAAGTCTGCCTTTCACGGGAGAGAACTGCCTGTGTCCACATATTAAAATGCCTTAACCAGAGGTAGATGTCTGGCCATGGCAGGAGAGAAGTGAGTGTGAGGTAATCCATTGAAATGATGAACTCAGAACCCAGGTGAGACTTGCTGAGGTTGATCACAGGTCCAGTGCTTTGGTGTTCAAAAAATCAACTGTAGCGATGCAGGAGGACACTGAACTAATGTCCGTCTGGGTGGAGGCAGCATCTCCTCTTTGCTGTGCTGTGCCTCGTTTACCATAACTGGAGTGTATCCAACAGAACAGTAGTTCAGCAAAATCAAGAGTTTTGTAAGTCCATAGGCCTAATAATTTCTAGAAGGGTGCTGTGAAAATCATGAGCATTACATGAAGTGAGGTCGTTTCAAAATGGCGATTCTTTGTCCTCTGAGAACAGAGTCTAATGCTGTAGAACCCTCCTGCTTCCGCCGTCAGGACTACATGTGTGCACCACCATGCCTGGCCCTCTAAGTGGTGATTCTTAACGGTGAAGTGTTCAGCATTGCTACTTGTACCATGTTCCACTGTAGTTTTTAGACATATTTTAAAGCCTCTTGAAACCATTTACAGTTTAAAATCTCTGCGGCTTTGTTTAATGCCTGGCTAACAGTGAGATGGTAGTAAGTACTGGTGTGATTATACACTCATGGGTCAGTTGTGTAGCCCTTGTATTAGCTTGTAGTTTAAGAGCCCTTTAAAAGTGCTTTGTGCTTTGTTTTCCCTTGTTACCCTTAAATTCTATTTTGTGTTTTGAAAAAGATGTCAATATTCTAATTAGACTCAGAAATACAGACCAAGGTAGTTTTTAAAACTAGTCTCAGTGTTTTTAATGTTATCAAGTTGCCAATTTCTTACTGCTTGACTTTCCTGAAAGTGTTTCTTTATATTTCCTAAACCTGCTGCTGCACAGATTCTGCTGGAGTCAAGCTGGTCTTCAGAGGGTAGCTCGGTTTGCATCTTTCCCAAACTGCACATCGTGGTGCTCAGCCTAAAAAAAGTGTGCTGACTGAAACAAGTGTGACTGGAGCCCAGTGTGTTTGCTTACATTACCTTTCATCACGACAGGGTCTGTTTGAGCCACAGTGCACATGACTTCAAAACGTTTAGTGTCTCTTCTTTGTCTTTCACTGTGATGTCATTACAAACATAAAGCTGCTTCATGTTCAGTGCTTTGTGTAGCTGAGAGTCCCTGGATGTAATCTGCATGTCACTCATGCATTTAAGCACAGATAGGCATGTCCAGCCCTTGCACCTTTGCCACTGTCACAGTCTGCGTGTGAAATGTGGCGCATTGGGACAAACATGGGTATTCTAAGTGGAGTGGCTCTTGTTTGAATAGATACATAATTATTTCCATTCTTTGACTTGTTTGCATTTTCTGGCATTTTGTTTTGATTTACTTTTTTTTTTGCTATATCTGAATTACTCACTTTGTTACAATTTTTTAATTCTAATGACAGTAAAAATAAAGGTAATACTCATTGAGCCATGCACATAAAATACTTTTAAAAATAAATTCACATATACAAATATTTAGAAAAGTTGAGGCTGCCCCTTTTTTCACTTTGTTGGAGAAACTTTTTTTTTTTTTTTACAAGCCCGTGTGGTATCTTGGCTGTATGAGGATACATAGCTTGGACCTCATTAATTAGACGATGTTTTTAGTGTACAGCTTGTACTCATTAAAGCAGCATTTCAGAAACTTCTGGGTAAGCCAGCTCTTAAAGGAGTATTCTTAAAAATGTATTCTTTCTCTCCTGTTTTTTTAACTTGGGATCATGAATCTGAAAGTTACCCACTCAGAAGGTAGCATCTCTGCTTTCATAAAGTACTTTCAAGTAGTGTCAGTTCGAGCAGTTTTTCCTTGGAAAGGACATTGACATAAAATATCTTCATAGCAATGACTAGGTCTCTGCATTGAATATAAACTGATCTCTGGAAGCAAGTTATACTACAAAATTTATACTTTAAAATGACTTTCATAATGACAGTTCAAGTCAGTATCAAAATGTAGCTTGATCAGAAAACAGACATAATAGATATGAACATAGAACTAAGGAGTGAGAGAAAGTCTGAAGTTCCTTGAGCAGTTGGTTTTCGTGGCATTTTGGGGTGATTTCCCCACGATGGGGTTTGTTCATGTGAGGCCCTGCAAGTAAGCTTGCATGTGTTTTTGTGTTTGTATGTGTTCTGTTCATCAGCCATTTGCTCAAGATAGTATGATGATGAACTTGAGAACAAGAGCTGCACCTGCTCCATCAGAGCCGTGTGGCTTTGTTCCTGTTCTGGTTAATCTTCAGGAACAACTCAGCATGCTGTCTACATAATCTTACCAGGAGCTTTTCATGCCATGACTGGGAGAACCGCTGCCGGGAGAAGTGCACTATGGTGACAAGTACAAGTCACCTCAGACAAGTGCAATTGAGCTCTAATCAGTGTATTTTGGCTTCAGTCTCAGGCATACTGTGTCAGTGTTTTATATGCCAACATCCTCTAGGAAAAACATTACCATGCTTTGAACTTAAAATTCATGCACTCTTTCCTTGGGTAAAGGATTTCCATTTTGAGGTTCTTAATTGCCCTTGTTGAGTACACATAAAAATGAGGAGTAGTGGCTGGTTATGGTGGTCTGTGTCTGCAATCCCAGTTACTCCAGAGACAAAGGTAGGATCATGGTTTGAGACCAATCTAGGGAATGTTAGTGCAAGACCCTATCTGATGAAGCAAACTGGGTGTGGTGGCAAACATCTGTGGTCCCAGCTCTGTAGGCAGAGGTAGGCAGGTCTCAGTTCGAGGCCAGCCTGTGCAAAATTAGCTTGAGATCCTATCTGAGAAAAACAAGCTAAAGGACTTGGGGGCACGGTTCAGGTGGTAAGAGCACTTGCTCAGCAAGTTTGAGGCCCTGAGTTCAATCCCCAGTACCACAGAGATGGGGGGGTAGAAGGGGGAGATGGTGACCAACAGGCTTGGTAAATAATAGATGTCCACTAATTGACTCAACTTGAGATTTGAAAAATAAAATGCCTCCCAGCATGAATTTCTAATTTAGTTTCTTAAAATTCAGTTGCATATGTAACACTTTTACTTCTGATTTCCTTCATGGTCTTAAATTTGCAGTGAACATCTGTTTGTATTTGTTTTTAAAAATTTAGCCAGAGTGGCAGAATAGGCTTCTTGATCCCTACAGACCTCAGTTCTCACACACTTAGCATTCTGTGTGTATCTCACAGTGGCCTCATGTCCTCACTGCTCATGGACACTTTGTGAACAGTCTATCTCATGCTTACCTCTGTGCTATTTGAACCATTCTCAGCTCCCCTAAGCCCCACAGAAGGTCTGCCTTGTAGTAGAAGAGCCTTCATTTGGGCCGCCTGTGCTACTTTTCAACAGGATCTTTCTAAGAAAAAGTAGACATTGAACCAGGTGTGGTACAGGCCTATAAGTAACCCCGGCACTCGGGAGGTGGAGGCAGCAGGGGTATATATACCAAGACCTCTGTCTCAAAAAAACACAAAGCAAAATGAAACAAAAAAAAAAACCTGCTTGTACATACTGTTGTAATTCACAATGGGTGGTGGAAACAGAAAGGGGGTACTTCTGTGCTTCCTCTTTTGGTGGAAGTCGAGACTTCTCCATAGTTAGCGTCCCCAGTAATGGATGCATGTAGGCACTGAAGGCCATGGGGTGTGAGAATTGATTTTTTTGTCTAGTCTTTTAAGTTTTGGTTGAAAGCTCCAAGTTCAGGCTACTGAGTTGCTCTAAGCACCAGCCTTAGTGGAGCATCTCCTGGCCCCAAAGTCAAGAATGAGATTTCTTTGGTGGAGGGAGGCAGGGTGGTTCTGAGTCCATCCCAGGGAGTTTTTTGTCCTGCATGTTCAGTGTCTCATGCGTACCAGAAGTCTGTCTTCCCAGTTGTCAGTGGAGACACTTTGCAGAAGGCATACTAAGTACCGTTTTCAGAAACCAGCAGACACATGCGCCTCTTCAGTTCAGCAGTACAGGGCGATTTTAGCTAAAGTGAATGTTTTTCCCACTTGAAAACAGGTAGGAAGTACTCCTTCCAGAGTCACACTTCTTCTGTAAGGGGAACAGGGTGGAGGACACTTAAGCTTCTGAATTACATTGTATTCTTCAACAGTTACGTGTGTCTCTTCAATTCAGCAGTATAGGCCTATTTTTCCTAGAGTGAATGTGTCTCCCGCTTGGAAACGCTGTGAGATAGGTTTATTCCTTTGACATGCAAACTCAGTTCTCAAAGAGAGACATGTGCAGGACGCACTGCAGCTTGTATGTTAGATGCTGTTCTTCCAGCAGACACATGCGCCTTTTCAGTTCAGCAGTACAGGGCTATTTTAGCTAAAGTGAATGTTTTGCCAGTTTTCCTTTAACCCCAAGTCAGTAGGAAGATGGGAACAAAAGGTGCCCCTTTTCTAAACACAAGTACAGAAAGAAATGGGTGACCGAAGGTGATTTTTTTTCTGAGACGTCTGCACAGACCACCATCTTAGAGACAGCTTGTGAGAGTTAGGTGGCTCCTCCAGCAGTAGCATTCGGGGCAGGGGCAAGGTACCACAGGGGCTCTTTTTTTTTTTAAACTTCTGAAAGAAAGCAGATGGAATCCAAATCCATTAGGCCCAGGATCTTGAGAGTCCAGTTTAGTTTCTTGGCTTACACAAGTTTAAAGTAAATAGTTAACCATGATGCCTGCGTGCAACCCGTTGAGCACCTGTTTGAAGTGCCTGGAATAAGTTGATGAAGAGGACATTGGGGTTGTTGCCGAAGCTTGTGGTCATAGACGGTGGGGAAGCATGGCAAAGGCTTCTGGGAGAAAGATTAGACCTCAGCATGTCAGTGGGACCCTGTCTCACGTTAGTTTCTTCCCTGCTAAAATAGGGAAGCCTTCCATTCTTTCTTACTCTGGTTTATTGTGAGAAAGCGTCTACCAACAGAGGCCCTGTCCCCAGCTTAGCTGGGCTGCTACCCCACTCTTAGTTTGAATGTACCCAAGCATCCCCTGCCTCCTGGTGGCATAACCGCCCTCACATGTCACTGTGCAGCTTAAGGCCATTGGAACTCTCCTTTTGTAGTACTCTAGTACTCTGGCACTTGAACTATGCCCCAGCCTGAGACTGGGATTCTTAAGGTTTTATATGTACTTCAATTATTCCTAATCATTTGGGGTGTTTGGGTTTTTGGTTCGGGGAGGGGTGTGTGTGTGTGTGTGTGTGTGTGTGTGTCTGCGCGCGCTTGCTAGTAAGTGGCCCTTATTGCTTGACCTGGGAACTCTTCAGTACTACACTTAAAGTGAGTTAAAAAAAAAAAATAGGCAACACTCCTGCTTTCATGAGGCTTTTGGGTTTTTTGGTGGTAGTGGTGGGGGAGGGGTTCCTCTCATCTTACCTGTCAGGTGTTTTTTTTAACACCTTTCAGAGGGGTGACTGCAAAAATGGCCTCTAGTGGCCACTTTATGCAAAGGACATTGAGACATTAAGTGTGTGGGTAGTAAGTGCTGCCAGCTGCATGTGTCCCCGGTGAGTCCAGCTGTGCTGCTGAGAGGAGAAGCTACCTCTGAGCCCCGCCCCATTGCCAGCTGCAAGACCTTGTGTGAATGTCTGCAGAGGACGCTCAGGTGGTGAGCCTGCATCAAAGGCTCACTTAAGGAATTGGCTCCTCCATCTCCCCCCTTCTCCATATTTTTAAAGCTGAGATGTTTGCCACTAATTTTTGGAAAGTGAATACCAGTGTGGTAGTGAAGATAGAGCCCTGCTTACAGCTGCTTTGGGGCCTGTGTAGGGTTAGGAAAGCCTTGGTTGGAAAAGACGGACTAGTTCCTCTGGTTTCAAAGCACCTGTATCTGAAAGAGCTTTTGGCCTTGTTCCTGTGCAGACTTCTGCTTTCCCCACTGTACAAGTCACACCGGTCCATCTCTTCCATGTACTTACTGTTTGGAAATTGAATTTCCATTCTGTACATTGGCATTTCTGGGTGTAATGTAGGGCTGGTGTATATGGTTGAAAATGACTTGGTTCCTCTGAGATTAGCACTAGTGAAAGCTACAGAGTCCAGTTGTCCCTATTTTTAAATGTTTAACTGAAAAAAAAATTTGCACCAGGAGTTATTTGCGTTTTTTGGGCCAGAAATATTGTGAGCATTAAGAATCAAAAATGCTGACAGAGATGTGTTTATGAGGATTTTAATTACAGTATTCATGATAGAAAAGAAAAAGGAAGAAGCCCAGGCAGCTGCTGGGAGTTGAGTTAGATGAGGTATGACATACATAGCCATAGGGTGGATTAAAGATACTTTTGAAGTCAGTTGATATGGAATTCATGCCTTGGTAAATGAATAGAGGAAGGTAGAATGGGGATTTTAAAAGATTTTTTGGATTCAAAAGAAGACCATTCTTACTAAAATTAGAAGCTGCCTGTCAGAGGGACTGCCTGCCCCTGGCTGCACAGTAGTGAGGTCATCCCACAGGGAAGGGGGTCTTGCGGGGAGGGGAGGGAAGGAGAGAAGACAGTTTCCACCCGTGGATACAGAGAGCCAGCCATGTGTGCAGCTTCAGCTCCACCTTTCTTGGAACTCAGACCAGTTTTCAGTTTTCTGAGTTTGAGGCTCAGACCGAATGCTGCCAGGGTGGTGTGGACAGGCTGCCCCTGAGCCCCAGCCTTTCCATTATTTTTTGTTACTGAAATTAGTAAATTTTTCTTAAAATCTCAAGATTTGTTTTAATGGTTTCATGTTGAGAATTGTCTTCAGTATTTCTTCCCAAAAAGTGTTGAATTTCGGTGGGGGGGGGGGGTTTAGCATTATCTCTCGGTTATACAGCCTCTTTATATTCTCCAGAGAGCCGTCTCAGAAGTTTCCCCTCACGTAAATCTAAACAGGTATCCGGAACGTAGCACTTTCATTTGAAACTGTGCATTTCAAGAAATGCTTTATTGTGGAAAAGTAATTTCTTAGTGTACAAGGCTCATTGGTAATCTTTGCTTTTTGAATTGACATTTTTAAAGCATTCAGTGCTGACAGAAAAAAAAAGTGAAAGTTTTGTCTTTGTTTTCTTGTATGTACAAAAGAATCTGAAAAGTCTTTGTTTCCTGTGCAGTGCCAAGCCTGGATTACGCCATGCCACTAGCAAATGGCGAGACAGAAGACGATGCTGACAAAATGCACATTGATAGAGAGCTCGCTGCTGTAACAGGTGGGAGTGGACAGTTTCCTGTTAGCTGCAACAGCAACCCAGTGGTCGAAGACATCAAACAGCAGGAGAGTGGTTCTGTTGGACCCAAAGAAATAGAAATATATACTGTTTCAGCAATGCAGACCCCTTGTCGTTGCAAGAATCAGTATGCATGTTATCTCTAACAGTTTTTTTCAAGCTCCTCTGCACTTTGTTGTCCAGTGCCCTTGAAAACTGTTTTACTACACTTTGCGTGTCTTGGGCAGTTTGTAGATGCAAGGATAAGTGTTATGGTGCGTCCTGTGGATATGGGAAATGAAGTGCAATCTCCCTGTTTTGATTTGAAGTTTTTGCTTAATGTGCCTTGCTTATTTTTAATGAGGTTTGCAGTTTTAATTTTCTGATGTGGCCTTTGGGCAAATGCACTGAATATGGTATCTAGTATTTCTAAGGCAGTATACATCAATGGCAGCTTGATGTAAGCACTGAGAACTGGTCAATACTACAGCCCTGACTGTACCCCATCCTGCCAGGACGGGAGTCCCTGCCCACACTCTGGTTGTGTTGATGCCTGGTGTTCCCACTGAGGCTGTTAAAATGCTGAATGTTGTTCCACAAAACATTTTGTATGTGAAAATGTTCAGCATATTAAACAGTTAATATATCTTCAATTTTGACAGGGCAAAAGCTTAGTTTTTCCTAGCATTTAGAATGCTTAAAAAGGTTTGTCTATTTAGCTAATGCTTTTTTTCTACCATTCTTTCATTTAGGTAGCCTAAAAGCATTTTGGCCATTGTCTATGTGTTAATCTGTATAGAGATACCCAGATTCTTCACTGGGAATTAAAAAAAAGTGTTACTTTTTTTTTCCCAAACCCACGTGAAAACACCATTTCTGTTCACTAACATGAGTAGGGATGTGTGCATCCTTCTACAAGCCACAGAGGAGTTCAGTGCCCTCTTTTTGCCCAGTAGTTAGATGGACAAAAAAAGTGCCCTCTTTTTGCCCAGTAGTTAGATGGACAGTTTTGATCAGATAGTACATTGAAAATAATATGTGTTCTGTAGTTAGGTGCTACCAGGACTCAAAGCCTGTTTTATTCTAGCTGTCTTTGTCACACACTACCAGCCAGGGCATGCTGGTGCTGGTGCTGAGCGTGCTGGCAGGTTCTCCTTCAGCCGCTCATCCCAGGTGTCAGGAGCCAAACAGGCCCTCCCCGGGCTTTCCATCACACCTTTGTGACTCTGACTAAACAAACCTATTAAGTCCCCAGAGATCACCTGCAGTTTCCACGTGGGCTGCAGCATCTCTTGCACCCCGAAAGTTTGCAGGAACTGCAAATTCTGTCCCTGGAGGTAAGCAGAGAAGGCTGTCTGCCCTTAAGTTTGTCTGTCTGCCTTTGAGTTTTTCTTTGTTCTGTTGGAATTTTTTTAAGGACAGTGTATTTTGAAACTATTCAGCACTTTCACATTTTGAAAGGACTCAAGGGAGGACACTGCCCAGTGCTCCTCTGCTGTGTGTCTAAGGTTAAGTCCTCAGGTGATCTAGCTGTCTGTACCATGTGCTTTGGATAAGGGTGGCCTCCATGGGGTGGCTGCAAGTGGCTGGAAGGGAAGTACGGAAGGGCCTTGCCAGGCAGCTCCATGTAGAGGAGAGCAGGAAGGAGCCAGCGAGGTCTGTGCCTACCGTGGTGACATTAGGGAGTCTGCTCTTGTGGTATGCAGTGGTCCCACATTGCCCAGGACATGGTGAGGCCTCCGAGGCGCCTTGAATTCAAGATTGAGCAGTGACATAACTGACTTTAGTTGGCCGCTAAAGGAAAATCCTGCTTATTTTGTTTCACTGTGGACTGTTGTTTCCACAGAGTGGACATTAGTAACTTATCAAAGTTGCCATCTTACTTACTAGTTTTATCACGTAAGACAGGTAGTTTCCTACATGATACCTTTTTAAAGATAAAAAATATTCATATTTAAAAAAAAATTGTTTTCCCCTGGGAATAAATTTTGTATTTAGTTCTTGATATAGTTGTTTCCTAGTCTTGAGTTTTAACTAAATAGAAAAGCACTCATTTAATTTGAAAAATCCATTATCTTGTAATAGAGGGGTAGCAATTGTTAAGCTGTGATTGTTGCTTAAATTGCCAAAAAATTGATGATCAGGGAATAATTGGAAGATGTCTTGTTCAGCCATGATCCTTTGTCGGCAGAAAGATTGGCAGGACACACAGACCTCTGTCAGGTGGTGTATGGGAAGAGTCACATTAGGGCGATTGGTGTTAAAATGTGTGCTCGTTCTACAAGCTATGAGAACCGAGTTCTCTCTATTTATCATCGTGCTTACTTTGGTAGCCCAGAGCACTGAGGTAAAAATCTAACATTACCAAGCAAGAGGTAACATTAGAGCTGTCTGCACTGTTCCCTGAATTCCTGGGGAACAGGTGTTCTCCATTCCACTGTACAAAACTTGCAGCTTTCTGTC